CAATATTATTATTATTAATAATAATATAACGTTTATATATATATAAATATATATATAACGTTTAAAAAAAAAAACGGTATTCAAACGATACTGGTTAACTGCAAACGACGAGAACGGCGAACGATTAACATAGTGCGATTATTACTACCTATTACCACGGCAATACGATGATATACATATATTATTATGATGAAATACAATGATATATTTATCGAATATTTATTGAGCAAACGAGAATAGCACAGTGTGTAAGTAGTATGGTTGTACAAAGTAGGCGGCGAGGCGAATACAGGCGACCGATTTTTCATTGTTTCTTTTTTCCTAGCGACGATGGATGGGATATTTTAGAATTGCTGAGAGACGATTGACGGAGCTGTTGGGGGTTGCAATTTCCTTATTAAATCCGTTGATCACGAGTACTTTCAACGATCAATAAATGAAAGCCTTATTACAAGAAACGTGCCAACAGTTTTTGTTGATTTCTTTACTTTCTTTTTTTCTCCCATAGAACGCACAATTCTTAATGTACAGAGAGTTGACAATGATTTCACTTCGATATTACTCGATTATCAATTATTCCGGTCTGTAAATAGATTGAATAAGTACGAGCATTCTCGAATCGTTTTGCAACCCCGAATAGTCCCCAACAGTGTTCGGTAAAGAGAAATATAGTTGGTTGACACGCGAGCAAGCGACAAGAGAAGCACAAAAGACAGACATAAGAAAATTAAAGAAGAGAATGGAAAGGGGATAGGAGGGAGAGGTCGCGAACGCTATAGGTTCGCATGTATTTTCGTCTCACGATCCTTTTTTTTTACGATTGTGAACGAGGTTCATGTTATATATCAGGGATTAGACTAAAATAGTATAATGATATACGCTGCGAGGGAGGTGTCAAAAAAACAACAAGAGAAATTGAACGGACAGTAAATAGAAACCAAAGGTGGTTGGCACTTGAAGAGGCGGAACGAAGGAGAGGGCTGTGACAAAGGTGGTGATAGTGGTAACCGAAAGGGTTGAAATGCGGTGAACTCTACAGAAAGAATGGTACAAATTATTTAATCTCTATTTTTTATCACATTATTTATTCTATCGGAATTTTTCTTAATATTCATTTAATTACTCGTACCACGTTTTACTTGATTCTACTATTTTATTAATTGATTTACGAGTGGAATACCACTGATCTCTATAGAACATCGGATAGTAGATTGACTCATCTCGATTTCTGGTTCCGAACGTATCGTCGTGTGAAGACAATTTTTTCGGTGCTACTTTTATTGTCCTTCTCGCACGTTGACCGACTCGCTCGCTCCAGACACTCGGCTGATGCTCGTAAGTAGGTCACTGGGTCAGTATAGTACCAAACGCTGCACCTAAATTTTGGAAGCCTATATCTCAGAATGTCCTCGTACTATTGATAAATTATCTTCTTAGAGCTTAATAGTATTGAAACTAATGATCAGTCAAGTAAGAAGCATACTTATTCCTGCCTCCTTTAATTATCATCGTGCAAAATAATTTTGGTGATCTAATAGGGGTTGATTTATGGTCTCAGTTTCTCACCCTTAGATTTAGTAGAAATAAAAATGTAAAAATTCGAAACATTTTTAAAAGCAATATTTAGAATTTGCTATTTCAATTGGGGCAGAGCACACATCATTGTTCTATAGAGATCAGTGGATTGCATATAATTGTTTGTATAAAGATCAATGACGATTATATCAGTTGATTTGGCACTGTCTTAAACTGTTCAGCCTTCTTCCTGTAGAGACGTTCGAGAACTAATGCTTAAGAGAAAACAGTTGTGATAAGCGTTGGAGTTTCGTGGAAAATAGTTGGAGAATTGGAAGAAGAACGAGAGAAAGAAGAAAGCGAAAGGGAGGAGAAAAAGAGTTAAGGGCAGGGGGTGCGTGAAACGACTCCCGTTTTTGTTTGTTTTTTTTTTGCGAGCTGTCAACCCTCCGACAAAGGGACACTGACAAGGGAGAGGGCTTCTTTGTCACCTTACCGCGCCAATTATAATGTTGTGTCCATACTGTCTCAATTAATATAATGTATTATATTATATATATATATATAATATACATATATTATATATATATCCGACAATATTGATTATTAAAAATTCTTAATATATGAGAAAAGTCGAAGTGTTACGAGTAAATGAATGTACACGTCGACAAATCTAATTCCCCTCTTACGTATTTATTTTCACGTGCATAGAATTAGGTTTCGTATTCTCAAAGAATGTTTGTTAACATCTTTTCCCTGTTCACTTGTGAAATTGTAATTCTTTAAACGAACAGCGGGTGGGGATTTCAACACTTTCAGAGTAAGTATTCTCTTTATTCGTCTTCTATCATTGCTGCCGTACAACGTTAAGGCAAATCGATTTGAATCTTGCTTAAATTCAAGTTTCTCGCGCGTATATAATTCGTGAAAAAAAACTTACATTATCAAAATTCGTGACAATGAGATCGTCTCCGCTACAGCTACACGTGTTTCTTAATAATACTATAAGTAAATCGATTTATACAAATATATCGTTAACATAAATCCTAGCTATTTGTTTCGTTGAAGGAACGAAGTACAGTTCCATTTTGCCTAAGCGAACTACTGCAATTACGTCCGTTTCGTAAATTAATTCTATTATGACGTTACATAGATATATTACTATTGCGCGTGTTGCTGCCTCGTAAAAAATAAATCTCATTATTTATATATATCCTACAAGTTATAACATTTATCTTTAAAATGTGGTAAAAATTAACATTAAAAAAAAGTAGAAAATACGTGTATCGATATGTACAGTGCTACGTTAATAGAATATTATCGTGGACGGATGAAATGTTCAGAGCCGAAACTTGAATCATTGATGGCTTCAGTCGTTTGTAAAATCTTTCCTCCTGCTTAGTACCTTCGAATACTTAAGAGAAAGTCTCGTGTATACATATATGAACACATACCGTGTGTAAATGGCTAAAAATAACTGTTCAACCGATCCGATACGCTTTAGACTTCGGACGATCCGGCAGGAATTTGGGAGTTCCTTTCCTCGAAAGAAACAACTTAACGTAGGTAGCGTTAAAAAAGGTACTCCGGTAAGAATGTATTATACAGCCGTCTGAGGAACACCTTGAACCAATTGTGTCCTGCTTTTGGGCAGCGAAGACTGGCTCACAGCCTTGCCCAGTCTAGGCTGCCCGTTTGGTGAACTAGTGACGAATCCCTCCGAGCGCATGTCTTTCAACGAGATGTTCGAATTGCTCCTCAACGACGGCGTCGAGCTGAATTTCCGATTCTGTGCCAATCGTTCTTGTAACTTGGCTTCGTTCTCTCGCGGTATCCTGGCCCGGACTGGTGGCGTGTCCCGGTACTCGCAGACGTTCTCCTTCGAGGCGCGAGTCATATTCTCGATTCCCTCCGAAGGGTCGTCGTCTCGCACCATGAGGACGTCTCCGCTATAGTAGTGGTCAGATTGTCTGCGCACAGGCGGAACACAGAAAAAAATATTGTCTACCACCAAATCAATATCATCAAAGTTCCCGATCATTAATATGATAAACAAGAAAGTGCAATCCAGTTTAAAATCGTGCAGTGAAATTCAATTAGTTGCACATGTATTCGAATTACCTGCGTATAATCTCGCAGCCTTTGCCTTGCTGCATGAATTACAAGCAAAGAGTTAATGAGTAAAAAGTTTAATACGTTTGAAACAAGAACCATCACCCTCATGCACTACGGAGTTAGATTAAGGGTAGTCATATGGGCTCGGTTCTGTTTACCTTTTCTTACCTTTTGGCATTACGCCAAAGCATGCAACACACCACGCAGAGAACGATTAATAGGAGACACGCGGTCGAGACTGACCAGAAGGCAATCTGCAACGGTTGTTTCGGTTCCCACCAATACTGTAAAAATAATAATTAATGGACACTGAAATTTATACACGAAAGAGTATGCGTGCAGTGTAATTACTTCGGTAACCGGCGGATATGTAGGCACCAGGCGGCCGATAACGGTTGGCAGGTACATGGACCAGAAGGCACTTTCGGTTTGTCGATAATTCAATAAAATTGAACTGTTCAGCGTAGTGTTGATATTCAAATACCGCAGTTGTCCCTGTTTCGCGACGTCAAAATGCAATCCCAAGATTTGCGATGGAGTAGGATTTCTAAACAAATGAATTGTTTATTGACGAGAAGAAACGGGATACGTTAATTAAAATACATACCCGTATCTCGCGAAGTTTGAATACGCTTGCATGAAAATGTGGCTCATATTGCGGTCGCTATCCGTCCAGACGTCTCGTTTCAACTTCAGCTTTTCAGGGAAGAATTCTACGAAGAATGTTTATGTATAACGCCTTATAGTTACAATTTAAACTGATTTGCTTACCAATGTCCATGAAGGGTGCTCCGGTCAGCCAAAGTAATTCGATATCGTGAGGAACTCTTCGCCAATGCGGTAAATTCAACGCCTCTACAGTCGTGTTCAATACGTACAAATACGTAGGCACACGCTTCTCCACCAATAATTTGGCGATTTTATCAAACGGTGCAACGAAATGAAAATCGGTTAACAACTAGAAAGAGAAAAATATAGAGGATCAAGAGGTCCATCAAATTATTAAAGTACTTACATTAATGTATTGGTCGCGAATTAGAGTTATATTTTTCGGATCCGGCCAGTAGGTGTACATATATTTTATAGCCTCATACACGCCTTGGGGATTGAGAGTGTAGTTGTACTGAAGAACCAATTCCCAGATTTTTTGATCGAACATCCCCTCGTCTATGATAAACTGATTTCTAGCTAACGTGACGTTGCTGTCTGGAGGAAATAAGATACTTCATTGACCATCGCAATTGATACGGTTCTTAAAAAGATTGTACAAACTTCAAATTACGTACGTATGATGTATGCAGCTTCCTGAGTCGTCACACCAGCCATGTACGCCAGATCTGGCTTAAACCTACGATTTTTAATGCTCTCTTCCGGTGTTTCCAAAAAGAATCGCCAGTCCGATGCTCTCCAGTTCTCGTACCAGTCGTCACGAGGCACCGTGAAATTGATATCCAACACGGGAGCCCACGGGAACATTCCAACTTGCGGTTTCAATTCAGAATTGCCGTGATCAAGGAAGGATCTACCGTCCTTCAAGCATTGCACTAGTTTCCAGCTGCTTTCTACGCTGCAGCCTAACATCGACGCATACACTCTGGACGTGTTCTGCGCTCGGTATTTATCAATGATGACTGCCCAGTCGGCCAACGCGGACCCCGATTGAGCGATCACTTTAGACACCATGTCCCTAGTCTTAGGCGCAAGCATCAGTAATCCCGCGCTCGCCGCACCAGCGCCGGGCCCGAAAAGCGTGATCGAGTTTGGGTCGCCGTTGAAAGCCTTGATAGCGTCGAACACCCATCTCAACGCCATAGCCTGATCCAGTATCCCATAATTCCCAGGGCTGTTCTCGTCTCCCGTACTGAGAAATCCTAATGCTCCCAATCGATAATTGATAGAGACAACCACCACGTTGTAAAACGCGGCCAGCATATGACCGGGGAACAAATTACTAGCGCCATGAGTGAATTCCCCGCCGTGAATATAAAACATAACTGGATACAGTTCAGCTAGTCCAGATCCGATGTAAGGAGTAAAAATGTTTAAATATAAACAGTCTTCGTCCACGTTTCTGATTCCTTTAGTGGCACCGGTATATGAGCTCGGCTGAGGACAAGCCGGTCCCCAATCGACGGCTTGGAGCAACTGCCAACCGGTGTGAGGTCTTGGTGGCTTGAATCTCCCTTCCCTCGTCGGTGGCAACGCATACGGAATACCCAGGAATACGTTGACCGTCTTGGTAACTCTCTCCACTGGCAAACTCCACGGCCTATGCATCGCTCGCGGATCATCATACAAGCGAACTTTAAATCCTTGCACCTGCCCATAAATCGTGCCTACGGTTACGTCTCTGTCCAAGTCTTTTGAGTCGGGTCTCTCCCTCCCTTGAAGGTCCTCTCGCCATCCGCCGAGCACTCCAGGTAAAGGGAGTCTCGAAGTCGTTTCCTTTGGTAATCACAATCCACAATCAGAAAACTCGCATAAGAAGCATGTAAAATTGTAGCATTTTATTATTCGTCATACCTCGTACGGGAATCGATCACCCGGTCGCCTGACGGGTCCCCTGTAAACAGGGTCCAGGTAACTGGGCCGATATCCGTACCTCCTGTCCTTGTAAATGTAAGTGTCGGTCCGATGATCGTGCCCGTTCGTTGGCACGTATACACCATCGCGGCCGTAGTACCGACTGCCCGGTGATATTTGTTCCTGACACGGCACCGTAATTGCTAGCAGCCAGAGGTAAAAACAGACGCGTCCAATCGATGAGTACACCGTCCGCGCGGCCATCTTAACCGCGTGCGCGTGTGTGCGGCGAACCTCCGCTCTACTATAGTGAACGGGCAAGGTGTGGTCGTTTCTCTGGCTCTATGTGTAGGTATACTACACTCCACTACGACCGTGCGTAATGCTCCTCACCACGAGGACACGTAGCGAAACGGGGAACTCATTCCTTCCTGGAAGACGACTCGAGGAGGGGAAAGCGAAAGCTGCTGTACGAAAGTAAAATCCCACTGTCGCTGCTGGTTGTTGCAAGATCGGTGGACGCGCGCCCGAAGAAAGGGACTCGGATCTGGGAAGCAGTGCTGCTGCTGCAATACTGTCCGTTTTTTCTTTTATTTTGTACTTGCACGGCGTTTAAGGGAAAAGGTCGAGCGTTGCGCACGTGCACTTGCGAAATCCGCGATCACGACTTGCACGCGTGTACAGGCCAACACCCTTTGTTTTTTTGTTTTTTTAATGATGGATGTTAATAAGACAATAACATTGAACGTGCGATTCCTAAATGCTTCTATCGCAATTGACTAAGCTCGTCTAATCACATTCGATAAGTTTAATCAAGACGCAATAGTTTATTACGTATTGTTAATAATCGTGCGCTTCAGTAGTGCTTTTC